AGCAGGAAGGAAACGAGGGGCTGGGGCAAGCAGATGCCGTTTGGGTGGATGCCCAGTCCTGCTCTTTGGAGCAGAGTCCGCCAGACCCGGCTTGATCGTGCAGACTGCAAGCACGGGAGCTTGGGAGGAGGCCCCCGCTTCACCTCTTGCTGTTCTCTCTCGTAGGCAAAACCGTGGTGGAGTGAATCGGCGTACCCTGACAAAGAAGAGTAGGAGGGTGCCAAGTCCGGGGGCCACCGCCTGCGTCGCTTCTAGCCCAAAGGATTTTTGCGCCGGTCTTGGTCTTAATGTGGGTGGTTACTTTGGGGGTAGGTCCCTACCACAGCTGCAGAGCAGAGGTGTGGTGGTGGCAGGAGAGATTCCTGCTCGCGTTTTGTTTCTAAATGTGCAATGTGTTCATGCGCTGGGCAGGCCGGCCCAGCTTATTTGCTTAGTGATCATACGGCTTTGGAGGGTCTCGGGTGGCCTGCTTTGGAAGCGCTTGGCCTTAAGACCCCTTGGCAAGTTGGCATCCACCCCTCCCGGAGTCGAGAGGGCTGTTGAGCCTGGTCAGTGGGACGCGAATAGCTTGAGGCTGGTCCAGACAGCAGACAAGTCCCCCGCAAGAGGGGTCGGAAGGTGTGCTGCTGACTTGCATTCCACTGGGGAGAAGAATTTCTCCTCTTGCGTTTAGCAAACTGGGCTGAGTTCCTAAGCAAGTCTCTGTGACCGATCAAGGAGAGAGAAACGTAGGGAAAAGCCATAATCGATGGTGGATGGGCCCTTTGAAGGTCCTTTCTTTTCTTTAATACCAGAAGTGCCCAGTTAAAAATAGAGGCAGGTTTTGACAGAAGGTCAACCTCTCCTCCTCCTTTCTGTGCTGATTGTTCTGTAGTAGAGAATGTCCCTTTTAAATTTCATGTAATAAAAATTTGTATTTACCAGCGTTGTCCTTCCCGTCTCTTTTAACAACTGCTAATACTGGCCTGTCCCCCTGCCTGTACTACAGAGATTGCCAGATTTATTCTTTTGGCTTTGCCTCTTTGAGAGGGGAAGAATTCTCTGCGTGACTGAATGCTCCAGTCGCTCAAAGGGCAGGGGGCCTTGGAAAGTGATGGGTCGCACAAGCAGACCTGGGTCGAAAAAGTTAAGCCTGTGCTCCCTCTAAGCTGTGGAGCCCTGTGAGCAACTGGCATTAAAGTTGTGAGGAAGTGATCTGGCTACTGCATCAATTAGTTTTCTCTGGAGCCATCCCTCCTGAGCTAAGGCAAAAATGTGTGAGCCGGAGGCTAAAAAAATGTGAGCTGGCTCACACTAACTCAGCTTGGAGGGAACACTGGATCCGGATTGGGGAAAGGACCCCCGCCCTGGCTGCAGTTCTCTGTCAAGGGTGCTGTGTCTTCTTGAACCTGTTCCTCACACAGGAAGGAATGTTAGAGTCCGGGTGAGCAAGTGCAGAGAAATGCTCTCCACCCAAGAATTCTCCTCGGTATCTCAGTTTACTGTGAGCGTCCTCTGTGGAGAGGGGCTCAGTTGCACACTTAGGGGGTGGAGAGAAGGGGCAGGTGCCGCTAAGAGCTCAGTGGCTAGAACGCGAACTCTTCCTTTTGGGGCATTAAGACCAAATGACCCTCCCAGTGGGACAGACTGTCCAAAAAGTAAATTCTCAGGAGACGGGGAGGGACTCTTTTCTTCCGTGCCGGGGGGGGGGGGGGGGGTCTCTCCAGAACACCCACGTCAAGGAACAGCCTCCAAGGTGCCGCCCGCACTCCCGGCACCCACCATCAGGTCCGCCTCGATCTCTTCGTACAGCCGGGCTAGCTTCTCCTCTCGCGCCACCAGGGTGGTGCTGGCCTCGTGGGGAAAGGGGGCCATGTGTGTGCAACTTTCCTTTATTCCCTGCTCAGCCTGAAAAGCCTGTGTCTCCTTTTAATTTAAACTACAAGTCCTGAGTCTGATCCCTGGGGGGGGGGGGACACCTGTGTTGCTCTCTGAAGTGTGGTAACAGAGAGGGGGCGCTGGATAGACTTTTCACCCCTGGAGCACCATAACCAGAAACTGCCACAGGAGGTGGCTGCGGCTACAAACATGGAAGACTTCAAGAGGGAACTGGATCAGCATATGGAGCAGAGGTCCATCAGTGGCTCTTAGCCACAAGGTATAGAGAGGAACACTCAGTCTGGGGCAGGTGATGCTCTGTATTCTTGGTGCTTGGGGGGGGGCAAGAGTGGGAGGGCTCCTGGTGTCATCTGGCCCCACTGCTGGACCTCCTGAGGGCACCTGGTGTTTTTGGCCCCTGTGTGACACAGAGTGTTGGACTGGAGGGGCCACTGGCCTGATCCAACATGGGCTTCTCTTATGTTCTTATGAAATGGTGAAGTGGGCAGTCAGTTGCCCCCAAGCTGTAACTTGCAGGAGCCTCTGAAGAGCAAAGCTGGAAGAGTGCTGGATGTGTGACTCCATCTGGCGGGAGCCGTGAGGTTTTCTGACCTCCTGGGGACCGGCCCAAAGGGACCGGGTCCATTCCTTCACAGCTAGGAGTGTACCCTTCTGGATTGCTTTCTTAGGGTTATGCCAGCAACTCTTTCGATTGGGTCTGATCATCAGTGCTGTTACTAAAAGTTGGTTTTATTCACAAACGATGTGAACAAACTTTGTAGAAACTGATCTGTGCTTTAGACAGGTTGCTCTGCTTTATATGGTCCAAGCACTTCTGTGCTGAAGGAGGAGAGAGAAGGCACACAGAGCTCCATTCCTCTCTCACACCCCAAACTCCTGCTGTCCAGTAGAGCCCGGGGAGACTCTGGATAGTGGCGAGTTCTGCTGGGGTGAGGGACTCAGGCGGGATGGGGGGGAGTTGAATGTGAGCAGTTCTTAAGGTGCAGCCAGTTCCCAGGGCTCTTGCCAAAGGGAGGCGCCAGGGCCCACGGTGGGTGGTTGTGATTCCCCACTCCCAAACCAACATTTGTTTGAAAATGGAAGGCTGCTTTTGCTTGCCGTGATTCATCCTTTCTCGGTGGTCCAGAGGTGGGTCAGTCCTTCCTGCTCAAGATTTTTTAATTTTTTGGAGGTGACTTCTAGGGCTGGGATCTGTTCCTCCTGTGTTATTCAGGTTCGAGGAGTATTGTTCTCCAGTTTCTTAGGAGCTTTCATTTTCCCCGAAAGCTAACAGGACCCTGCTGTCGAAGAGGAAGAGCTATATCCCAGATGCAAGGACTGATGCACCCTGGACCACTGGAGAACTTGCAAAAAGCAGTATTTGTGAAGTTCGGCTGGGGTTCTGCAGGGTCATCTAGTTCAACCCTCTACACAATGCAGGAAATTCACAAATACCTCCCCCTCCACACCCCCAGTGACCCCTGTTCCATGCCCAGAAGATGCCAAAAAATCCTCCAGGATCCTTGGCCAAACTAGCCTGGAGAAAATTGCTGCCTGACCCCAAAGTGGCAATCAGCATTTCCCTGGGCATGTAAGAAAGGGCCACAAGAACTAAGCACTGATGCAACCTTTCCTGCCTTCCCTCTCATGATCTGCCTAAGTTCACAGAATCAGCAATGCTGTCAGATGGCCATCTAGTCTCTGCTTAAAATCTTCGAAAGAAGGAGAGGCCAGCACCTCCTGAGGAAGCCTGTTCTGCTGAGGAACCACTCTGTCAGGAAGCTCTTCCTAAGGTTTAGCTGGAAACTCTTTTGATTTAATTTCAACCCGCTGGTTCTGGTCTGACTTTCTGGGGCAACAGAAAACAACTCTGTACCATCCTCTATATGGAAGCCCTTCAAGTCCTTGAAGATGGTTATCGTATCACCTCTCCAGGCTCAACATGCCCAGCTTCTTCAACCTTTCCTCACAGGACTTGGTCTCCAGAACCCTCACTATCTTTGTTGCCCTCCTCTTAACACCTTCCAGCTTGGCTATCACCTTCTAAAATTGTGGTGGCCAAAACTGGACACAGGACTCCAGGTGAGGTCTAACCAGCGCAGAGCAAAGCAATACCATCACTTTGCGTGGTCTGGACACGATACTTGTTGATATTCCTTCAGCTCATGTCGTTTCAACGTGACCCTCTACTGACTGCAGCTACTGAATGCTTCAAGACACTTCCACCAAAAGTAAGCATTTATTAAATACAAGAAAAGCCAGAGAAAGATCTTAAAAACCAGTGGCAACCAATCCTGCAGTGTTATTTTGAAGAGCAAAGTGCTATGAGGGAGGTCACAGAGGGAAGCTGGGGCAGAGTTTGGATACACTCGAGATGGGTTCAGAGGGGGACACTTTGGTGGCAGGAGGAGGTGTGAATAAATTAACAACAACAAAAAAAGGTGTGTGTCCGCACAGCTGGCCTTTGCCCCTGAGCAGCAGAAACGGGGGTCACTCCTGCGCAAGAGAAAGAGCCACCGGGGACTCGCTTTCCCCCTTTTATACAAAATATTTACACCTCTGCTGTTTTTAAGTAAATACAAATAAAAATTAGTGCATTAACCTATCCCCAAAAGAGCAGGAGAGCGGGCATCCCCTTCCTGCCGGTCATCTCAAGTAGTTTTCGGTGTGGCTAACGGCGTTTCACTTGCCTCTGGGCTGAGTGAGTAGAAGCCGCAGGAGGAGGACGGAGACAGACAGATGCACACAACCAGTAATCGGAAGGATTCCCTTTAGCCCGGATGTCTGCCGCCTGCCCAAGAGCACTTAAACAGGTCAAGAGGGGCGCTTCTCCCCCAGTGCCTCAGCGTCCACGGCTGCGGCTGTTCGGAGGACAGCTGTACATTCGGGATGAGTATTCAAGTGAAAGGAAACCGCAGTCGTGATCCGAGAGGGGGGGCCCTTCGTTGGCAACCGGCGTCTGTGAACAGGGACCGAGGGAGCACCTTGGGGACTGACTCCTGGTCCCCAGCCTGGGACTTGCCCGTTCTCGGCCGCGTCCTGCAGCTGGCCCCGCCTGCTCTTCCAAAGGAATCCCTCTATGTGGACGAAGAAGGGCGCCAGGAGGTTATCTGGACACGCAATCGTGTCCCCGAGAAAGAAGCTCCGTCGCACGGGGTGGAGGAGGAACACCAGGAAGAACGAGTTCTCTTTCGTTAATGCAACCATAAATAACTAATAAATATACACATCAAGTCACTCAGTGGCACACTCTCTTCGGGGCCAAGGCGGGGGGTGGGGGGGAGGCAACTTCTCTGACAATGTGGCAACGGGAAGGCCTGTGAGGTATCTGACGGAATGAGAAGTCGCCTCGAGAGAATGTGGCAATTCAAGAAGACGAAGACGGGCAGAGCCCTGGCGAAAGCAGGCTTGGTTGGCACCCAGCTGGATACCCTGCGCGGGGGCGCCGGGGGGGGGGGGGGGGGGGATGAGGCTCTTTTCTTCCAGATCTGCCATGGCTGGCTCTCTTGGGCGTCTCTAAGCTTACCATATGACGTCATGCCCACTTGGGCCAGAAAATGGGTAGATCTCCAGTGTCGAAAAGGAGGCCTTGGCACAGGGAGGTTTTTCTTCTCTGGTGTGCAGCAAGGCTGGATTCGTCGTGCACCCACAGCAAAGTCAGAAAACATCTGTGTGTCGTGTCCCCCCCCCAGTTTTGATCATTCCCCCTCAGCCCCACTCACAGACCACACAGAACCCCGCCCCGTTCACAGTATTCACAGTCGTGTTCCGTCAGGAGAGCTTTCCTCCTGCTGCAGAGAAACGAAACTATTTGGACTTGCTTCTCTGTCTCCCACCAGTTGGACGTTACCGGTCACAGCAGGCTAGAATAAAACTGAGCGCTCGGCACCGGCTCTTTGCTGATGGAGAGCCGCCAGCCAGCCAGCCAGCCAGCCAGCCCGTTTTGACCCAGTGATACCTTTACGTCGAAAGATCGCTTTGCAAGAGCCCACACAGCAGTTAAGGGGGATCAGAGGAAGGAAAAGAAAAGAGAATGTGGTCGCTGGCCGGGTGCATCTTGGATCGGGTACCAGTGCAATTCAGCCAGTGGACTCCCAAACAAACCGGACCACAAGAGCAAAGCTAGATGGATCGTCCCTGTCCTTTTCCCAGGGAAGAGGAAAATAACCTCTTGGAATTCAGCCCCCCCCCCCCCCCGCGCCTTTTCCTTCCCTCCTTCCAGATGCAACATAAGCTCAGAGCAACCATTTCTGAGTGCCCAAGATGAGCAGTGCTTTCCACTGGTTTTGTTGTATGTGGGCACGCCTTTCCTTTTGTCCCTGAACAAAAGATTCGTGCTTGCAGTAATCTGGCAACCAACACCTTAAATGTGCCATTAAAATATAGATTCTCTGGAAACACACGTTTGTTGGTTCCTCATCCCCCCCCCCACGCCCCTTCCACCAGGGTCAAGGTAACTCCTCCCGGCCTCCTGGCCCCTGCCTGCCTCAGAGAGCAAGAGGCTCTGAGTGTCTGGTACCTGTCACTACAGCGGCCCCCGTCTGAGCTCACCAATGTGGGCAAGAGATAATAATATGCGGCCTGGCCTCGAGAAAGGTCTGGCCAGTCAGCTCCCGTTCCGCAGTCACTGCTTGTAATTACAAAAGAAATGTATGGATTTCAAGGTTTGACCATCAGTCTGTGTGCTAAACTATCCTACAAGTATTTCACAAACAAGGCAGTCAAGACAACCCATCCACCTATGACTACAAAATGGAAGTTTTCCAGCAACCAACCACGGTGGCAGCAAAATCCAGAGGAAAGGGTCAGCGTTTGGCCCCCTTTGGTGTCGGGGTGGTGGGGGGAGGCCTTCCGTGGAGCTTTGGGCGTTTCAGCAGGGGCGTGGAAAGGGCTTCTCCAAAGGTGCCTGTCGCCTTGGCACAGAGCGGCTCAGCCGCTGAGAGGGTCCTCGCGGTAGTGGATGGCATACCGGAGTTTTTCCAACATTATATCCAGGGACGAGTACTGAGGAAGTTTGATCATGAACATGCAGGTCTCCACACGGATGTAGCGTGAGTCTGGAGAACCTGAAAAGAATCGCAGAGAAGGGCTGTGTGACCCAGCTTGGTTGGGTGAGGCCTAAGACATAATTGGCCACTCCACCTTCCAGACCTCCTTGTCGACTGGCTTCAGCAGTCAGCCACCACCTTGAGTCCCACTGAGAAAGGACAATACGATTCAAGACGGAGGCAGCGGAGCGATGTCACTTGACATTTTCAAAGCCCTCCTGAAACCACACAAAGTGAGAGGCCGGGAAGGCCGGAGGGAGGCACCCCAGCAAGCTGCCTCCCTCCTGCTGTACATATTTATGGACACCCAACATAAAGAGCCATCGGAAGCCAGAATGGATCGCAACCAATGCGCTCTCTAAGCTTGTGAGCAGGAATTCTGCTTTGTGAGCGGCTGGCATTAAAGCTGTGAGCGAGCCATTTGGCTCCTGTATAAATTAGTTTGCTCCGGAGCCAGCCTTCCTGAGCTAAGACAAAAATGTGTGCGCTGGAGGCTAAAAAAACTGTGAACTAGTTCACACTGACTCAGCTTAGAGGGAACACTGAGATTCGTAACCCCATTGGTTCTCAAACCTGCTGGGAAGAAAAGTCACCCAACCTAAGTACAAACCGTGGGATATTCCAATCCCCTGACTCTGGCTTTTTTTGACAGTCCGGTTTTCCAAAACTTAACGCCCACAACGCTCTTACCTTCCCAAAATATACAAACCAAGAGCCCTCTGGGCCATTACCTGCCGTGCCGTCTGGAGGTGCGATTTTCATGGGGTAGGGAGGGACGTGCGCGGTGTCTGGCCCCCCATCCTTACAGGGGCAGGTAAAAGGAATCCGCTCCTGGTTGCAGGCAAACTTGATGAACTTGCAAAGTTCCTCCTGCGTGAACATCTCTAAGGCCCCCCAGAAAAACTCAATATGCTGGTCCGTTTCCATCAGTCCTACTTGGTACATGGTATGTGCCTGTCCACAAGGGAAGGGATGGGGACAGAGAAAGAGAGAGAGACAGAGGAGATAAACTCAGTCATGTCACCCAAACACGTTCTCTTTCGCAGCCTATGCCAGTCTCTGGTTTATGCATTTATTACACTTATATTCCAACCACCCTATCCCATGGTGGGCGCAGGGCCCATGGAAGGCTGTTACGCTATTCCTGGGCAGGAAGGGGGCGTGGCTGCCCGTGCTCCCCCATCCCTTCCACACAAGCACGCCCAGGGCCTGTGGAACCCACATCCAGTCTGCAGAGACCAAAGGTTTGGAATCCCACGCATTTACATTCGGTTAGCATCTTGGGAAGAGGGCCGTGAAAAACACGAACCTTGAGGAACTCCAGGTTGATGTAGGGGAGCCCGCAGGTCCTGAGCTCCATCTCCAGGGGCGTCAACATGGTCAGGAGCTGCAGGGGGATGATGGAGCCCAGGCCGGCTCGCACGGCCATCACGCTCTCGGGGTTCTGCAGCTCGTGCATCCGCAGGTTCCGGATCGCTGTTGCATAGATGTCCTTGTTCTCCCACCTGGGACGAGAGAAGAGGCGCTGACTTCCAAACGCCGAGCGGGCACACGGAAGGGCTCGCCTCGCCCCCACGCCAGCCTTGGCCGCCTCTTGGGACAGGCTGCAGGCCGATGTTTGACTCTCCGGTCCCACTAAGCACTTTCACTTGCTCCACGCCCCTGTTGAAACGCCCAAAGCTCCATGGAAGGCCTCCCCCCCCCCACATTTCAGTCTTCCTCAACACTCTCCCTATTTTCAGTTCTTGCTGTATTTTAACTTGGTACCATAAAGCTTTCATCTTTGGGCTTTATTTGTGTGCACTGTTTTCAACGGATTTAACTTTACCCAGGTTAAAGGTAAAGGTTTCCCTTGCTCGAAAGCCAGTCGAATCCGACTCTAGGGTTGGTGCTCATCTCCGTTTCAAAGCCGAAGAGACAGCGCTGTCCGAAGACATTTCCGTGGTCATGTGGCCGGCATGACTAAACACCGAGGCGCACGGAATGCTGTTACCTTCCCACCAAAGTGGTACCTATTTATCTACTTGCCATTTCTTGCTTTCGAACTGCTAGGTTGGCAGGAGCTGGAACTAGAGAAGGGAGCTCACTCCGTCATGCGGCACCCGGGTCTCGAACTGCTGAACTACTGACCTTCCACAGCCTGTAGTTCAGCATCTTAACCACTTGAGCCACCGCAGCTACCCAGGTTAGCAAGCCCTAAATATGGGGTTGGCCAAACTGTCACCCAATTAATGGAGAGTTTATCATCTTAAGATTTATCTTGGAAGACGAAATGTGTACATTGCTTGGTTACTTTTGATTCAGGAGAGTGAGTTATAAATAGTTACGTACTCTCTTAAGTATAACTAGCTGTCAGTTTATTTATTCCTATCCTGCCCGATCACCTTAGACCCAACCTGTCTAACAAAGCAACAAGGACACCCAAAGTCCATCCGTCCGCGGGGCCCATGCTCTTGTGCACACAGGAAGGCCCAGCTGAGCAGTCCTGAGAAATGGCAAATATGGAAGTTAGATTACTTTGGGGTTTCCTAAAGAAAGTGGGGTGTAGCTTGTTAAAACCCCAATGTGAATGCTGAAGAAATGATGAGCCTCCTTGTTGCTTTCAGGCAATGAAAAAATGCATCGGAATGCAGAAAGCAGCCGGTGCTTGCTCGTAAACCCAAACAACAAGGGGAAAAGCCTAGTATCATAGGAGTTCTCAAATGTACAAATTCCACTAGTAGAAAGCACCATCAAAGATTGCCAAAACAATATATTAAACCATTATAAAGCTGGGGGGGGCACAACAGCAACATTAGTGCATACTGTAACTATAATAAGGAATAAGTTCAATATTTCCTCCTTAGAAGATAAGACATAAAGTCCATGTAGTCACACTTGTGGTTCTCCTATGATTTGCTTCTTACACTATGAACCTTGTGGTCTGTTGAAATTGTCGAAATCAGGTTCCACTTAACACAGCCGGCAAACTGAAGAAGTCGAAGGAAACGCCTCTTCCAAGTATCTAGAATGGGCGTCTTTGCAAAGGCAGTTTGGAAAATGTTATGACTATGTGGACTCCTCCTGTCAAGTAACACTGACTACATGGACTTTCTGTCGTATCTTCAAAGGAGGAAACGTCATATCTTATGCCTTAATATAGTTACAGTATGCACTAATGTTGTTGTGACACCACCAGCTTTATAATGATTTAATATATTGTTTTGGCAATCTTTGATGGTGTTTTCAACTAGGGGAATCTGCACATGTGGGTGCTCGCGCGTGGCTGATAAACAAGGGGACTCCCACGCCAGGGGCAGGTCCACCTACCACACGTCACGCGGGCCCCTGCCATTCCCTGTTGCTCCTGGGCTCCCCCTTGCCCCTCCGAGTCCACAGGGGGTCCCTCTCCTTACCCTCCCCCCTCTGCCACTCCCATCGCAGACCACTTCAAAATGACAGAAACACACACACACGGTCTGCGCAGCCTTTTCCCGGATGGGCACCCCAGTCTTGGAAGGCCCGCTGCGACAGCCTCCACGGCACAGGCCCCGACCAGTCCCTCCGCCCCACCCAGGCTCCCAGGGCCGCTCTGCCGGTTGCGGGAGGAGGCTCCGTGACTCACACGACGGGAATGTGCCTGCCCCGGGCACACAGCTCCACCTCCTCTCCCGTCATGGTCACGTAGGTGAACTTGCAGCTGGGCTTGTTGGGGCAGTCGGGGCTCTCCATGGCCAGGTGCTGGGAGGCGATCTCGGCACACAGGGCCTCCAGCTCCGCCTCGTCGTTGAGCTAGAACGACAGGGAGGAGGGGCGTCACGAGGGATGGCCGGGGAAAACTTTATGGGCGGGGAAGTCAGCCGAGGGCGAAAGCCGGGATACGGCACCCAGCCCGGCTGCTGCCACGGTGCCCGGCTGGTCAAGCGGGACTCCCCGATTTCATTGCCATGGAGGGAGCTGGCCTGCGCGCGCACCGAGGGAGCCTGCTCACGCACCACCCAGGGGACGGCAAGGAGGACAACAGCCTGGCACCCAGGAAGACCCGCGGAGCACGTCTCGTGGAGTGGGGGACTCTCCAGGGCACCGCGAGCCTCAGGCATCCAGTGTCCTGGCTGTGGACAGGCACTGGCAACCAGGAGGGCTCAGGGACTTCGAGAGAAAGGGAGCTAAAAGCAGGGCGGGAACAATAACAGCCAGAAGGGTCCAAGGCCCCATGGAGACCATCGGAAAGCCAGACAGCAACAGCTGAGAAGACTGCTGGGGGGAAAACCCAGTGTGGCGCGGGGGGGGGGGGGCACTTTTAAGACCAACAAAGTTTAATTCTGGGCAGAAGCTTTCGTGAGCGTGCATGTACCTGAAGAAGTGTGCAAGCACACAAAAGCTTATGCCCAGAATTAAACTTTGTTGGTCTTAAAAGTGCCCCCCCTGGACTCAAATGTGGTTCTTTGGCTTCAGACCAACATGGCGACCCACCTGAATTTACTTGCTGGGGGATGGGGGGGGAAGGTCAAGGATCATCTCCGTGTGGCAGATGGGACGAGTGGGTGACAAGCAGAGACGGCAGCGGGGGGGGGGGGGGGGGGCGGGGTCGGATGGGAGGAGCCAGAAGGAGGAGGTGAGAGGAAGCGTCCCTCCCATCTCAAGGCTTCTTTGGCCCTGAGCCCAGGATTCGGGGCGGGGGGGGGCCTTCCCCAGTGAGGGCCTCCCGTGCCTTCTTGCCGCCCTTTGCTGGGGCCCATTTTGCCAGACAGACCCCGTCTGGCACTCAAAAGGGGCCGATTCTCTTCCGGACAGACTGCACGGGGTTAGCTCTTGTTTTTCTAAAGACGTCACTCAGGATCTGCTCCACAGCCGCTGAGTCAGCATCGGGAACATGTACCCTCTTAGCACTGCCCAAATTATGACCGCAAGAGGCTGCCATAGAAGAACACATTTTTCTGGGAACGCAACCCAGACAGCGCTGCCAAATGGAGCAGCACCGAGTCACCGCAAAAAGCAGTATTCACTCTTCACTTCTGAGAAAGACACCTGGGGAGAACTACACATGAACATCTGATGGCACCCTCAGCTGGACCTTGGGGCCCCCGCATCCATCCGGCAGCTGATCAAAGGGCCGATTCTCAGCACGTTTAGGGGCTCAACCTTCTACGAATGCCAGAGTCAACCTGCAGGCCTGTGCAACCAACCCTATACCAGTTAAAGGGGTGGCTGCTTGTAGATGTATTTCAGGATTCGCCCTGCAAGGGTGGTGAAAACGTCTTGCCTCCCCTTTCGGCACACCAGTCCACACAGCGTCCCTCTCTCTCTGCCACTTGGCCTCCAGAGTCTCTCTCCATTTAAGCCTCAGCAGATTTCTTGAGGATCTCAGCCAGCCAGATGCCAAGAGGGGAGGGCCCTTGGGCCTGATCCTGCAGACCCCCTTCTGCTGAGAGCGGCGCTTTCCCCTTTCGCAAGAGGGCCTCTTATGACCGAGGAAGGTGCCTTGAGCACACACCTGTGGGTGGAAAGGATCTAGGAGATCCAGCCCGAGTCACTTAATCCAGGACAGATCAAGATGGGCGGCCATGTCAGTCTGTCTGTAGCAGCAGAAAAGAGCAAGAGTCCAGGAGCACCTTCAAGACTAACAAAATGTAATGCCTCGGGTAACTGCTGGAGATGCAAAAAAAATATAGGGTCCTATTTTCATATTTGGTGGAGATGCAAGAAATTAGCTAAATTTTGGAAAGAGATACAAAAACTAATAGTAGAAATAATAGTTGAATTGGTGGAAACCATTATTAAGGAAAGAATTAGTAGGCACATAGATGAACAAAACCTATTGAGGCAGACTCAGCACGGTTTCTGTAAGGGAAGATCTTGTCTCACTAACCTGTTAGTGTTCTTTGAGGGGGTGAACAAACATGTGGACAAGGGGGATCCAATAGATATTATTTACCTTGACTTCCAGAAAGCTTTTGATAAAGTTCCTCATCAAAGGCTCCTAAGTAAGCTCAAAAATCATGGGATAGAAGGACAAGTCCTTTTATGGATCAAAAACTGGCTAGTTCATAGAAAACAGAGAGTGAGTGTAGGTGGGCAATTTTCTCAGTGGAGGGTGGTAAGCAGTGGGGTACCGCAGGGATCAGTACTTGGTCCACTGCTTTTTAACTTGTTCATTAATGATTTGGAGATGGGAGTAAGCAGTGAAGTGGCTAAATTTGCGGATGATACAAAGTTGTTCAGGGTGGTGAAAACCAGTGAGGATTGTGAGGCACTCCAAGGGGATCTGTCAAGGATGGGCGAGTGGGCGTCAACATGGCAAATGGGGTTCAATGTGACCAAGTGCAAGGTGATGCACATTGGAGCCAAAAATCCTAAATATAAATACACATTGATGGGGTCTGAACTGGCAGAGACTGAGCAAGAGAGAGATCTTGGAGTTGTAGTGGATAACTCACTGAAAATGTCGAGACAGTGTGTGACTGCAATAAAGAAGGCCAATGCTATGCTGGGGATTATTAGGAAGGGTATTGAAAACAGATCAGCCAATATAATAATGCCCCTATATAAATCAATGGTGAGACCTCATTTGGAATACTGTGTGCAGTTCTGGGCACCACACCTTAAAAAGGATATTATAGCTTTGGAAAAAGTGCAGAAAAGGGCAACTCGAATGATAAAAGGGTTGGAACACTTTCCCTATGAGGAAAGGTTAAAGCGCTTAGGGCTCTTTAGCTTGGAGAAAAGACGACTGAGGGGTGACATGATCGAGGTTTATAAGATTATGCATGGGAAAGAGCAGGTAAAGAAAGAGGTACTTTTCTCCCTTTCTCACAATACAAGGACGTCCTTCTTCACCCAAAGAGTGATTAACACTTGGAATTCACTGCCACAGGAAGTGGTGGGTGCTACAAGCATGGACGGCTTCAAAAGGGAATTAGATAAGCATATGGAGCAGAGGTCCATCAGTGGCTATTAGCCACAAGGTATAGCTAGGGGCTCTGGGGCAAGTGATGCTCTGTCTTCTTGGTGCTTGGGGGGGGTCAACAGTGGGAGGGCTTCTAATGTCCTGGCCCCACTGCTGGACCTCCTGATGGCACTGGTATTTCTGGCCACTGTGTGACACAGAGTGTTGGACTGGATGGGCCTTTGGCCTGATCCAACATTGGCGTCTCTTATGTTCTTATGTTCTTAAATACTAGAAATAGAATTAAAGCTCGACCCGGAAGTATACCTCCTAAATATTTTACCAGAAGGAATTAAATATAACGATCTATGTGTGACACTGTATATTCTTACCAGCGCTAGAATTCTCCTAGCGAAATGCTGGAAATCAGAAAAAATTCCAGATAGAGAAGAGTTGATTACAAAAATTATGGAAATTTAAGAAATGGACGAACTAAATATGATACTGCTGGCAAAAGATGAAAGTTCATTTAAAAAAAGATGGCAGAAATTAGACAGATGGATAGATACAAATGTGTAAAGAATCTCCAAAGGATACTTTGTATTAAGAAGTGTTATTTTGTATGTTTAGTTTGGAAAATAAGTAAATAAACTTAAAAAAAAAAAGACCAACAAAATGTGTGGCACGGTAGGAGCTTTCGTGAATATCTGAAGAAGTGAGCAGAGACTTGTAAAAGCTCGTACCATGCCACAAATTTGGATGGTCTTTAAGCTGCTACTGGACTCTTGCTCTTTTCTACTTAAGACAGATCCTGACTGAAACCTTTGAAACCCTAAACGGTCCGGGAGCGACATACCTGAAGGACCACCTCTCCCGATCTAACCCCACCCCCACCCTGCTTGCGCTCATCACGGCGCAATTTTTTGACAGTGCCTGGTCTTCGGGAAGCCCGTCTTGCTTCCATCAGGGCGAGGGCTTTTTCTATCATGGCCCCGTCCTGGTGGGACGCTTCATCGGAGGAGACACCTGCCCTGCGCGACCTTCTCAACGTCCTGCAGCAGGACGTGCGAGACGGAATTGTTCCGGCGGGCCTTTTGGTAATCCTATTTTCAGCAGTTATGGGTCTGCCAGATGTTTTCTCTTTGGAAAATTTGTAGGTACTGGGAGAATGTCGAGATTTTAACTGTCTTAATGATGAACCTTATGGTTCCACGGCATGTCTTTTAAAATGTTGTGGGCCGCATGGCAGGAGAGGGGTGGGATAGGAATCTATTAAATAAATGAACCCCCCGAGGCCTTTTCCGACAGTCTGCTTCCCCACACTTTTAAATGGCCGCTAGGAAGGAAGCACCCAAGACTTACGTTTTCAAATTTTTTGACGTAGTTGTAGGTGAGGATGTCTGCCTCCTGGAGGTCCAGGTCTGGATCCAGTGGCTCTCCCACCAAGGTCTTCCAGAAGGAAGGCAGGAGGTCCAGGGGCAGGGGGACGTCCGCCCGGATGGCGATGCCCAGCAGCTGCCCGAAGAAGTGCAGCAGCTGCTCCTCCCCGTAGCTGATGGGGCTGGGCGTCAGAATGTACTTGCCCTGGTGACAGAGAAAAGGGCGTGAAGAACCTCAAGGCACTCACGCTGCCAGCCCGAAAGGGCAGCCAAGCAGACGGTGCCCCCCCCCCACACCACCCCCGCCGGGGCCAGCGACTGTGCCGGAAGGGCAGTGCGGTGTTCTGGCCCTTCTTGCAGGCTGGGGGGACCGCGCGAGTACCTTGTTCTTATTGACGGCCGAGCTGGGACAGAGCAGGAGGAGGGACAGCAGTGAACTCTGGAGCTCCTTACAGACCTGCCACAGGAAGTGACGGAAAGAGCCACCTGGGAGAAGCCAAGATGGACCCTTCAGAGCCACACCCCAGCCGGCCACGACCCCCCCTTCCTCCTCAAGAAGTCACCCTCCCGCTCTTGTCCTCCCGCTCTTGTCCACTAAGGACGGGGCAACCACCGCGCCAGCAGCCATTCCCGCGGCCCTCCCCAACCTGACACCTCACAAGGTTACCAAGAAAAACTGGGAAATGGTTGTGAGATCAAAACCCCCCACAGTAGCCGTGTATTGGGGTGGAGGGGTGCAGCAGCTGACTGGGTGGAGGGAGATGGATTCTAGGCTACATATGGATTCTAGGGTAGCCAGTTTGCTGTCATGGTTAAGAGCGCAGACTCTAATCTGGGAGAACCGGGTTTGATTCCCCACTCCTCCACGTGCAGCTGCTGTGGACCTCGGGTCAGTTACAAGTTCTTTTAGAGCTGTTCTCCCAAGGGCATTTCTCAGGAGAGCTCTCTCAGCCCCGCCTCCCTCCCAGGGTGTCTGTTGTGGGGAGGGGAAGGGAAAGGGGATTGTCAGCCGCTCTGAGACTCCTTCGGGTAGTGAAGGGCAAGGGGTATACATATAATCTCTTCTACATATTCCCCACCAGTTTCTCCAGGTTTCCTACACACTCAGGACTAGCAGCATGGCTGCTGCTTAAAGACTCTCGGGTAGCAAAGCGACGACCCTTACTGGTGCCGTGGACCTCCTCGCCCGTAAAGCGGATGTTGAAGGCGTAAGTGGGATCGCCTCCACTGGCCAACTTCACACAAAGCTGTGAGGACGGGACGCAGGCCAGCTGCCGGGCCGCCTGGCAGAAGTAGGAGTTCTCGGAAGACCGTATCTCTCCTGTTTGGCCACCCACGGGCGAGGGGGGACAGAGAAGGAAGGAGAAACACACACGCCTGGGTTTGCGCTTGTAGGAGTTCTCACAGCCCCAGAATCATGACAGCTTCCTCCCCACCCTGGCCCCTGAGCCAACATTTCCAACAGATAGGGGTCATTTCCTGCAAGAGCGCACAGGAGCGGAACTCCGGCAGTAAAGAGCCCAGGGGGTGGGCACATGCAACAAGCCCCACCTGAACCCTGCTCCCAGCAGCCCTCAGTCAGAGCAAGAAGCAGCCAGGTAAGCTGCAGAGCCCCCCCCCCCGGC